TTACCTCGCTATTTGCAGTTTAGCGCACGTTGAATTAACGTCTCAAATTCGAAACGGAAGTTCTTTATTATGCGAAGTTTCATTGCTTTGATTCGCTTTAATCAAAATTTAAAAAAAAAAAAAATAAATAAATAATTGAAATGCAAAAACAGCTGCCAAACGCATGTTGTTGTAGCTATTTAATATTGTTTTTGTAAAATTTGCGCTTGTACGCTGTGTGTTTAGCGGCAGCATGCGTGCAATTACCAATTGCTGACAGGTTGGTATGTGAAAAAAGACCACAGCATTAACAATAAAGCGCAGATTGATTAAGTGTGCGCTCACAGCAAGTATTGTAATAAGAGCAAAACCATATTAATTAATCAACCGAAAATTCTATTGTTGGCGCTGCTGTGCTGTCATTGTCGCAATAAAACGAGAATGCACGTAATGCTTGCAGCAAAAAAGAACAAAGACGAGTAAGCAGGAACGCTTTTGTGTAAAACAAATAAAATTTTTTGCAATTTTTACTGCTTATTATATTCTGAAATTTTTAACGCTTTTTTTTTGCGAAATTTATGACAATAAAAATTATACTTAATTGTTTCCGATTACACAATTACTGGCTGGTTATTAACATTTTTCTGTATTATGCAATTGATATTTGTGCTGAAATTATATGAATTTTAAAAGCCTTGATTATTCATAACCTAAATTAAATGAGCAAATACGAATTTATTATAATATTTACGACGCGCCATATTATCTTTTAATACATTGTCCCCACCGAGATAAGCCAAAAATTAATGTTAGCATTAACAGCATTTAATTAATGCTACTTAATTGTTTATCATTAGGTAATCGAGTGGCTCAGTAGCACAAAAAAGCAAAAACTAATTTAAACAAGTAAGGAAGGGCTAAGTTCGGATGTAACCGAACATTTTATACTCTCGCAAAGTCAAATAGTATACTCATTTGAGATTTCTTTGTGGATTGAATGATATTTTCGGTAGAAGGTCAACTATAGGCACTGGGGTCCATATATTTAGTACTTAGGGGCTTGAACAGTTTTGGTTCGATTTAGATAATTTTTGGCCGCAAGGTGGCATACTTTAATCGCATTACTCACGCAAAGTTTTACCCCGATATAATCATTATTGCCTGATTTGCATAGTGGAAAGTGAAAGAATCAGATGGAATTTAAAATGGTGTTATATGAGAAGTAGGCGTGGTTGTAGTCCGATTTATCGCCAATTTTCGCAATATAACATAGAAATATGAAAAGAACGTGATGAACCGAATTTGGTTGAAATCGGTTAAGCAGATCCCAAGATATGGGTTTTCAGCGAAAAGTGGGCTGTGCCACGTCCACTGTCTAATTTTGAACGCGGTTCCTATAAAATCATCTCATACCATCTTAGAGATAAAATTTAATGTCTATGGCGTGTTTAGTGCTTGATTTATCGCGCTTTTAGTAGTTTTTAACAGTACCGTTATATGGGGAGTGGGCGGAGTTGCCACCCGATTTCAACTATTTTCACTAGGTCAATATAAGTGCTAAAAACATTTGCTTCCAGTGAATTTTGTTATTATAGCGTTAGCGGTTTAGTTGATATGCACATTAAACCTATTAGAGGCGGGACCACGCCCACTAAAAAAAAATTCTTAACTGCAGATGCCCTCCCTAGTGTGATCCTGTGTACCAAATAACAGTCTTGTATCTTATTGCGGAGCTTAGTTATGGCAATTTATTTGTTTTTGATTAATGGCGTTTTGTGGGCGTGGCAGTGGTCCGATCCCATCTGCAATACCAACCGTCTCACGGTACCATGAAATATGTCTACCACGTTTCATAAAGATATCTCAATTTTTACTCAAGTTAGAGCTTGCACGGACAGATGGACGGACGGACGGACAGACGGACGGACGGACAGACAGGTACCCGGATTTCAACTCGTCTCTTCATCCTGATCATTTATATATATATAACCCTATATCTAACTCGATTAGTTTTAGGTGATACAAACAACCGTTAGGTGAACAAAACTATTATACTCTGTAGCAACAGGTTGCGAGAGTATAAAAAATGTATGTATAAAATATAATAAAAAATTTTCGAAAAAAAAAAATATTAAACAAAAAATATTAATAAATAAAATTAAAGAAATAAAAAATGCAAAAACATATATAAACAAACGTTAAAAAAATATTATAAAATATTTTTAAAAAATATTTAAAAGAAATTAATAAATAATTAAAAAAAATTTACGCAATAAGGTATTGAAAAATGGAAATTAAAAACTAACAATGACAAAAATAATTTATTATATAAAAAAAGGAAAAATAAAGTTAATATATTTTCTTAACTTTTTAAAATATTTAATTTTTTCAATAGTTTTCTTTAAACTGTTTAAAATAAAAATAAAGCAAGTAATTTGATGAAAAATATAATTTATAAAAATTATAAAATTAAAATTAAATAAAAAATTAAAGAAATAAGAAAATAAAGAAGAAAAAGATGAATAAAGCAAACAAAAAAAATTAAATTAAATTAAATTAATTTTTTTAACTCATTAAAAAATTTAAATTAAAAAAAAATGGCTACACATCTGGCTTTTAATATCAGAGCATAAAAATAAATAAAATATTAATTTTTAAAAATATTACAGAAAAACGCTATCTTCAGCTGTGTTAGAAAAGAAAATAAAGCAAATAATTCAAATAAAAATATATATTTTTCACTAATTAAAAATTTATGCACCTGATTTCCAAAAAAAAAAAAACAAACTAATATTTTACGGTAATTTAAAAACTAATAAGGTTATAAAGAAATATTTAGCTGTGTTAAACGCATCTAAAAATAGCTTTCAGTGTAAATATATTTCCATTTTGATTGTTAAGAAAATATTTCAGTAATCTTACGATAATTTATTTATTTCAAAAATATTTTGTTTTTAATGTTTCAGCCGCTTACTTAAAAAAAATGTTTATGGCAGTAAATATTTTATTCTTAATATATTAATTATGACAGAAAAAATTTTGTAATAAATATACGTATATTAATAATAAAAAAAAATATATATATACGCATTATAATATATTAGTTAATATAATAAAAACTATTGTACACTCGTTGCAACTTGTTTCGATAGTATAAAAAATCTCAAACTCATATATGAATAATAAAATAAATAAAATCGATTTTTAGCACTAATAATGTAATACAAATTTGTCAAACATTTACTCTACATTAAAATATTTTAGACATACAAATTTTGTTCAAGTTCAAGCTTAATTTATTCTCTTTACATAGCTACCTGCATATGTATATATTTATATGTATGACAGCGCATTTGATATGTCACTTGTGTTCACGCTAACGACCGCGTTCGCTCTAAGCTGTGTTCTGCATTTTAATTTTCTAATTTGTATTGAAATGCCGTAATTTCGGAATGTCGGATATTCTTTTCGGCTTTAACATTGATACATTCAACTGAGGTTATATTCTGTATTGGTTGCTGTTTTTTTTATTAAGTTTTAAATATAATTAAAGCGGTATTTATGATACGTCACATACGTTAAATGCTCACCACTATGCGTTAGAGAGAGTTTCACTTAAAGATTTGTTTTACTTAAACATTGGCAGGGGTACGCAGAACAGCGAAGAGCAGGAAAATGTCACTTAAATACCCCACTTTTGATAAATAAGCACAAGTCTACCTTATACTGTTTGCCAACAAGCAACCATATATTTTTCGAATTTTTTGAACGAGAATTAAATATTTACATTTTATCTCATTTTAATTTTATAAAGCAAATATTTTTGTAAATAACTTCCCTCAATATTTAAGAAAAAATTTAACACATTTTTCATAGTATCTCTTTTTTGCATTATTCGTTAGGAAATAATTTTTAATATCCAAAAATATATTTTTAAAAATCCACAAATTTTTGGAAAACGATTTTTTTAGGGAATAGTCAAAAAAATACTATTTTGCACAATATAATAGTAATATATAAGCTTAAAGTTATATTAAAATTTTGTTGTAATTTGATTGCAACTAAAAAAATTAATTAATTAATTTAACAGTAAAAATTGCTTTAATTTATTTTTTGAGTATATTTTCCTAGTTTTTGTAAGAAAATCATTTAAATAAAAAATTAATTTTAATTAAAAAAAATACATTTAAATTTTTATTATTATTGTTGTAAATTATTATTTTTGTGACTATTACTATTATATTTAAGTTTTCTTAGTAAATAATAGCTTTTAAGACCACCTCAACAAATATAATTAAAATTTAATTTTTAATTACTTTTATAATTATATGCCTTACAGCAAACAATTAAATTCATTTGCCGTAAAAATATTAAAAAAAGTTTTCTGAAAAAATGTCTCTACATATGCATTTTAATTACTTTTGTAAGCAAAAACCCGACACAGTTCAGCGCGATAATTTTAGATTAAATATTAAAAGTTTGCAACTCTTAGGTGATATAAAGTTTTGTAGCAAATAACAGCGCCATTTACAATGCTTAATTTATCTAGCTGCCAAAAGTTTAAGCACTGCTTGTTAAAAATTTAATACTTTGGTTAAAAATGGAATTTTATTTTAATGTCTTCAAAATATTTAATTTAAACAAACTAAATAAAAAAAACTAATAATATAATAAAAAGAGAAAATTAAAAAAAATTTAATACAAAATTTTTCTAATTATAATTTTTTTATATTATTATTTTTTTTTAAATTCATTTATGCTAATTTTTACATAAAATTTTTTTATGTGCATAATTATTATTTTTTACTTCAATTAAAATTATTTATGTAAAGTTTATCTTTTAATTCAATTATAATTATTAAAGTTTTTTTTTTTATATTCTTTTTTATTTAATTACATTTTTTAGTTCTTTTTAATTTAAAAACTTAGTCATCGTAAAATTAAAATTATAAAAGTTTTAAATAATAATAATGCTTAAATTGTTTTTTATTTCAGAAATGAGCAATCGTTTCAACACTCACCTTTCGGCTTGTCCAAGTCATTGTCCTGACTGGCGCATATTTGCTCCTTTGAAGCGGACATTTTGCAAAATTTCCTGTGTTTTGTTGTTTTTTTTAACGCTTCGAATACTACACGGCCTTTGTCAGCTATTTGTTGCTGTTTTAATTGCTTGTTGAACTGTTTTGTGATAAAATAATACTGTCTTCTGGTTGATTACGCAATTTAATTATAGTTTTTCTTTGTTGTTGTATTAGCTGTTTTTATTTCAAAATACTGCACTTTTTAGTTATGTTGTATTTGCTATTGGCTTATTGCGTTTTGAGGTAGCGCGGTTTGTAGTTTCAATATACTTTTGAATTCAAATATAATTTTTATTAACACTTAAGTTTCTCTTTGTTGTTTTCTATCACAATCACAATTATCTGTCAATCACGCAAAATAAAATACAAAAATTTGTGGCTTTCGAAATTTTTTTTTGCAAAAAAAAATTTTTAAGTCTTTTGTTTTGTTTTATTTCTCTTAAAGTTTGCGCTCACAACGTTTTCAACGTCGACAACTTGTCGTGTTTACTGCTACGCGCCGTCGCCTTTCGCTTTCGCGCTTATAACTGCTTTTAAACACACCGTTGTTTCACGTTGCGCGTCTGGCAACGTTCTGATAAGTTCGCGCACTGCCGTTGAGTTTTTCAAATCGGTTGGAAAAAAGGCACAAATCTGCAATACAACCGGCTGAGCGTCTGCTCTTTGTAGGCATATATGTTTGTATGTAGAATAGTGTATGCAAACACTCTCGTCGTTGCGTTACAAACCTTGTACGTATGGATGTATATGTTAGTAGGCAGATAAGCCGGTAGTTGGCTCAGCGTGTGTGTGCTTTAGTTTATTGCTGCGCCCCTGACTCGTCAAGCTGGTGATTGTCGCTTGACTTTTAGTGCCAACTGTCGCCGTTACTGTGCTGTGATGCGTTGTAAGCAGGTGGCCTGTGGGAACGTTGTTAATTTCGCTATCGCTGTGACTGGAGTGTCAACGAATGCCGACGAAGGCACTGGTTATATCTAGTCGCCTGCTGCTGCTGCTGCCGTTGATGCTGCTGTCAAGTTTTGCCTGCTGTTGATTACCTTTCTTCCTCAACTCCACTACGCGTCGTCTGCTCGGGTGTTTGTGTGTGCGTGTGTACGGCGTGTCTGTCGCATTAATCTGTCAAACAAATGAGTAATGTAAACTGATTTTTAATATGATATATTTATTTAAGTGAAGCTTATGTATGTATGTATGTATGTAGTTGTGAGTATATATGCATATGGAGTAAGTACACATTCAATAACCAGTAAACTGCTAAATTGCGCTTGAATGTCCTGCCTATTTATTGAATTAAGTAATTCACGCGAAATGTAGACACGAGATTTTTGGAATTTTTTTAGGCGCAGTTTTGTCTTGTTTGCGCATGCGTGTAGTCAGGGCCGAAGTATGCAAAAAGTTGTATGATATTTCCGGCAGATTAATAAATTACAATAGGTATGTAAGTTATAAGCACGCCATGGACCGGTTTAAGGTAAAATAATAAAGGAAAGAATAACCTTGAAGTGAACAGGAATTGCGCGTACAAGATTTTATTGTACTTACAGTGGCAAAGTGAAGGCTTTCATTGAAGTTTCGTTATTTTATATGAGATCTTAGTACAGCCAAACAATTTGAGAAAATTGCTAAATATTCTCTTGTAGCAACCTTCACTTTCATAGGCGGCCTTCTGACCACCTGTCAAACTCCGCAGAGATCGAAATAAATTCTTCCTTTGAATATTTGTGGCGATGTCTACTCTGAAGCTTACTTTTTGACAATTAAATGTTGTTTAAGGTTATGTTGGTAGTTATTTCTCCAGCTACATTAAAGTTTAACTAAATAAGCGCTCATAAAAATGTTTCTGTCTAGTCTTATGTAGGTATATAGTTCTACAACTAGATAGCTTTAAAGTAATTTCTTTTTATTATGCCTCTCACATACCACACTCTCTCAAAAACCACACTATTGAAGAAGCAAATGAGAGTGACGCAATGAGTAGACAATTGGGAAGCAAAACTTTTTTTTCTTAGATATGATTGAAAGATTTCTTAGTTTATTTTTTCAAGTAAGCCGATGAGCATTACGAAGTAACCATTCTGCAGATGTTTCAGATAAACCAGAGTCTTGATTGAGATTTTCGAACCAGTTTGAGGAAACGAAGCACGCGACAGGCGTTCCGACTGAGTCCAAAAAAGGTTCTTTCGAAAAAGGCTAAGTGGTGAAAGAACAAGTAATACGAAAGTTTTTGTACATTGCAAACTTTAAGTAGCTCGAAGGTCACTTCAACTAAGTGGTGACAACCCACACAAGCTCTAACTAAGTTTGTATGCATTTCGAAATAGATAACATAGAAGTAACTGTACACCAAATGCTGTTAAACTTTTATAAAAATAAGCGTATAATTTCAAAGTTAGGGCACATAATAATGCCAAGCAGCATATTTAGTCAACTCAAATGTTTACAACTTTTAGTAAGGATACGCAGAACAGAGAGAAGCAGTAAAATTGTACTCAAATCCTGACTTTTGGCATCTACGTTGAGTCTACTTTGTATCGTTGCTGCTCACTTTACGGGTATACAAAAATTCGCTCGAGCCGATATCAGCTACACATGTTCACCTTTTGCTCACCATACACACTACACGAGAGTTGTTTTTATTAAATTTTCTTATCACGGGACTACAGCACGCTCGCTACCATATTTTTATCGGCTGATATTTTATTTTTGTATTTCATTAGACGCTACCAAATAACTAAGCGCTCAGCAGCACGTTAACGAGTCGCACATGTTTTAATTTCGATGCTCGCCATGTCATTTACGTCAATATTTCCCTAAATAATTTTCACCACACTTGGTTTTAGCAATAAAGTATGAATTACATGTGAGTGATTTCAGAAAATAGAAACCCGCAAGCAAATCCCTTATTTATTATTTACATACATCATGTTTGTCACATTTGTTATTATTTGTAATAAATTTGTATGTAGTTTGTTCGTAGTTTTTTTTTTTTTTGGTTTTACAACTCAGCGAACTTTTATTGACGGTGCTGTGTGATAACGGAACGAGATCGAGTGTGCAAAATATTTACATTCGTGTTGAGTATATTAAATTCGGTGATATTTCACATAGATAGTGTATATTTCACAATTATATAAATATTTCAGTGTATCTAAATAAAGTACGCAAAAATGCATTTTTAGCTATATGCTATAGTTCTTAGATATTTACCTAATTGGCGAGAAAATTGACACCTAACCTGAGTACCTGACACCTGTTGCAAAGATGTGTAGCTATATCAGCGTAGTACTATACTGTAATTAGTAAAATAGTTTTTAGGAGGACCGAACTGCTAGTGAGTAGTTCATTTCGCCCGCGAGTAATGAAATTTTATCACAACCAGCCATGGAAGAAACTTTGTTGCTCGCTCAGAACATATACTACAATATGTTTATACCCTGAATAGGAAATATTAAGTTTGCCACGCAGTTTGTAACACACAGAAGAAAACGTCAGTTACCTTATAAACAATATATAAAAATGATCAGCATAAAGATTTGAGTCGATTTAGTCATGTTTGTGCATCTTTCGTTTTGAAATTTTCTACACGTTTTTTGCTCTCCAAGAAGCTGCTCATTTGTCAGAACCGCTGATATCGGACTACTGTAACATACAAAATCAAGTGCTTGTATGGAAAACTCTTTTATTTGACGCGATATCTTCACGAAATTTGGTATGAAGTTTTAGCCGAGACAACCGTATAATCTTCGAGGAAATTGTTCTGGTGGAACCACTGCAGCAGATAACTGTGAAAGGTCGTTTCGGTGCAACCGAAGAGAACGTCTGTTTCAACACTGATTGTGTTGGTGTTTAAAACGAATGTTTATCTGAGTTTAAGTTGTCTGAACTTAGCCAATTTTATATTTTTACCCACTCTAAAGAGCACAGTCATGACAGTTCTTCATGATGGAATACTAAAATTTTTTTCAAGTATGCGTTGGTCTACTTGAACTAAGTAATTTGATTGATCGATCAATAAGTTTAGCATAGAATAGCATAAAAAAGTTTTACTAAGAGCTGTTGTCTTCTAACACAATTAGAAAATAGTTATAAATTCAGTTAGCTAAACTAAGGAAAACCGAGTGTGAAAACTTCAACTGAACTTTCTCTTTTCTCCGCTGGGATTTTAAGAAAATATTTTAATATCAACTAAAGAATTAGGGTGAAATTCGAAAATAAAAGCACTAACATCGAACAGGTGGGAAAAATACACTTAACAATATATATTTACGTATTTTTGTTGCGTCAATTTGCGCACTATCAATGGCCTGCTAATGAAATGATAATCAAAAGAAATCAATTTGTGAAAAATGCAAATTAGCAGTGTTAATTTTCTTTATATACATAAATCAGCTTGCTATTATCGTGAATAATTTACAGCAGCTTAGCGAAATTAGAATATAGAATATAACAATAGTCGGGACAAAGAAGCTGTGACAGTAGCACGTAAAACGCCAATGAGTGAGCAAGAATGAATAAATTTATTGCTGATGTCTGGTTCAAGTGGACGGACGAGGTGGCAGAAATGAGGCGTAAGTTCAAAGACTTGTTCACGCAAAGGGCGCATTTAGGGCTTAAAAATTATGTTAATACATTTACCATAAAAATGTGACAGTTAAGCTGAGAACTGAAATTATCTGAGCTTTAATAATCTATATCAGCACCTATGCAGCTTAAGGGGGGTTTCTATCTTATGAGATGAAAAAAATCGCTTTTTATTTTTTCATATTGAAAATTGTTAATTTAAAAACAGTAAATAGAAACAAAAAAGAGCCAAAAATCATTTTTTTTTTTCAAAAGCTAATAGTTTTTGCATTTTGTATGTTTTCTGCTTCGTTCTATTACCACGGATGATGAACCTTTTCCAACACATGTGCGAAATTTAATTCTTTTACCTATTATACTTTCCGAGAAAAAAATTTCAGAAAAAACAGCTGCTTTCCGGGCCAACAAGTTTGAAACCAAGTGGGATGGCTGAAAACCAAAATGAGGGCTTGCTGAGAAAAGCGCTGAAAATTAAGACCTAAAAAGCTTTGTTAGGCGTTGTAACTTCAGAGCTTTGAAGTTTAATTAGATTGCTAAGGAATTTTGGGTTGAAGGCTTTAATTTTTAAACGAAATACTTTCACTGTACTAAAAATTTAATACAACAATTTTATTGATACATAATTTTTTTCACTAAATATCAATTTATGAAAGTTCCAAGAGCAACTAATAGATTACTTAAATCTCAAAATAGCGGTTCAGGAGAAAAAATTCAAATTTTAAATTATTAATAAATGGTTCAAAAGAATCTTCGCAAATACGCTAAGGTTATTCGCGCAGGTTTACTTTTCCATTCATAACTCTTTACTGCTAATTTGTAACGCGTAATGGAAAATAACCTCAAAATTTGCGTAGTAAAAAAATTTTCAAAAATATTTCTTGCATTGAATACCATTTGTTTTTGTTTGTCAACATATAATGAACTCATTACAAAAGACTTTAAGCCCTGAAAATGTAAGTTAAAAGCAAATAACAAATAATAAAAATAAATAGCAAACAAAAAACAAATATACAATTTTTTTGTCTAAGTGGCGTATTTTGTTCATTTTCTCGTTTTCTCGTTCTGGTCGACTTCATTTCGGCACTTCTACGCATACGAATATGTATTCAAATGGAAAAGTTTTGCTGTTTCTTACTTTGTTTACCTATTTACTCTATTTATAAGGTCTTTCATTGTATGCTTCTGAGTATTTTTCAATCTGGTTTTCTGTAAATTTTTTGGCCAATTACCTGGTGATTAATTATGTAATTTTTTATTTTTTACGCATATTCACAGTTAAGTGGCATAGGGGAGAAAACAAATTTGGCATACCGGTATCTTCGGTGCGGAGTCAGTCACCCGAATACTTGAGGTTAAAGAAATTTATATACCATTAGTTCAAGTGGTAAAAGATTTCTAATCACATTTTACTATACTCAAAATATTTGAGCTTTGTAAAAGCTTTTGTTTGAAATGTAAGCTTTACGATCGTCAAGCAGTCTTTAATATTCCTGAAGCAATATAGAACACGTCAGATCCTTCTGAATTAGCATATT